TAGTATTCAGAAAGTTGGGAAAATAGAAAACTATCAGAAAAAAATTGTCTTTCTTTTGAACATTTGTAAAGTGAGAAGAAAAACTTTAGAAAACAGAAAATAAATTATCCCATTCATACAGCTTTCAAACATGTCTGGAGTAAATAGGGGATTGCATTGTATGAAGCATTCCAGTATGGATTGGAAATAAGAGTAAATAAATAATACCAAAAATACATAAAAAATAATTTTTTTTCAGAATTGATCTATTAATTTGGAATAAATATGCATTACTGAAGTTGTTTTCTAACTTACAAGTGACAAAACAACTGGGGACAGTACTGACTAAAATTAATGTATGAATCTTCTATTTCTTTACTGCATTTTAGAATTTAGTAGATTTCAGTATCAAGCTGAATCTAACACACATTTCTGATAGGATCAATGAAATAATTGACTTGTTGCTAGAATTTTTCTCTACAGTTGCCTTGAATGGGTGACCAAAAATGGAATTTACTCTCTTGGAGTTCTGACTATAAAACTGAAATTTTTGGAAGAAGATAGAAAATGACATTTTTTTCCTTCACTTATATTCTAACATTTCCTAGAAACCTGTTTCTGCATTTACAATCTCAGTGATGTCAGTGTAATAAAAGGAAGAGTTAGATATATAGTATTTTCCACAATATATTTTGACATCATTATATAATTTTTGGCCTGGATCTTTGTTAGCAAAAAAAAAGTTAATTCATTTCACTGATCACAGCATTCATGTTTTGATTATATTCCATTTAACAGGAAGTCATTATCTTGTTACTGATGTAAGATCACTGTGACAGTCAGGTCAAATGAGGATTTTGGAGATCTGAGGTACATAAACTATTGTAAATACTGTTTTTCAGAGATACATATGAATATGTAAACCAAAATTCAATTTTCAAATAACACTAAACATGTATCACTGTATGTCACGTCCATCCAAAAGTGAGTCCATGGTTTAAATAGATTTGCACCTGCTTACCTTGGAATAAATTTTAGCTCAGGACATCAATTACAGTGGACAGAGCTGATGTTCAGCTATGTTAATGATGAAATGAAATGCTGAGAATCACTCCATTTTTTAGCAGAATGAGCCAAGTACTGCTCTTGGTTACATTCCCAGGCCTCGGATAACACGAGTATAATTGAAAGCAGTTTTGGTTCAATATTTCTTGTATTTTAGAAGCTGTGGAGCAATCAAGCAACATGACCTTTTAGTGGTCCACCAAAGAATCAAGTTCTGCTCTGTATGGCATCCAGACTAATCAATATCCTATTACGATCACAGCCTGTTTTTTTTTCTTACAACTGAGACACAATGGGAATTGCTTGGACAAAACATTTCTCCCTGCAACAGCTGAGATTTGGCAGATTCACAAACTATTAGATTGTTAAATCTATGCTTTTCAATAAAATGGCATGGATATTTAGGCTCTATTGTACAATATGGTGCAAACATACCCAAGCTTAACTCATTCAAGAGTTCCTCATTAAGCCAAATCTCCAAATAACATCCACAAAGACTTTCCAAGAGTTTAGAATGCTACGTCAGTCCATATACATAAATAAGTATACAAAAATAACAAGCTCAGATTAACTTGTCAGGTATAGTAGGGGTTTAGCAATCAGACGCATGGGATAAAGTTAATATTGGTACAAGGTCTAATTTTTCTCTTGGACGACAGAAGACAGAATTGACTAAAGGAAATTTGAACCCTACAGGGAGCCAATGACTTTTCGGGATCCAGGATGTCATCTGTTAGTTTCAAGCACAGGGATGACTGATAGCATCCTTGACTTGCAGAAATGTGTGGTAAAATCCTGCCGTTGAAGTCAATGGCATGTCTCCAGCTCTTTTCAGCATGGTCAGACTTCCACTGATGAGATTAGTGCAAAATATGGACATGAGCATACATGCTGACAAGCAAAAAGGACTAGGTCTGTTGCTATTTTTACAGGACATTGTTGGAGGAAGCAAAGCCAGTCTGTCTCCATGTTCCCTAAGTTATTTTTTAAATTAGAAATAAGGAGGAAAAAGCACAAACCCTACTCAAGGTACATTTTCTCTTCATAATAGGGTTAGCCACAGCCCTGTATATTAAAATCATAAATGAGGTAAAGTCAGGTCATAGCTGTCCTTTTAAAATGAACATTTCTGAAGAATAAATTTAGTGAACTTGTAGGTCAGAATAACATAGCAGTTTGACTTGTTTGCATTTGTCTCCCAGTAAGGCTTGTGTTTATGCATATTACCACCTAAAAATATTACACTGGCCATCGTGTCAACAATGGAAAGAAGGATAAAAGCATTGTACCCCTCAAGTGCAGATGTTGTTTTGCAGTGTGATGGGGATGTGGGTGGGAGTCCTTCACTGAGGCATTCCTGTTGCTTCATGGTGCCAGAGGGGGTTGGCCAGAAGGAGGTTCCAGCCTGTGGCAGCTACAACAAAGCCACTGCTGTCATGGGTAAACTGCATCTTCTCTTGGCAAGCGTGTTTCGTGTTTCCCTTGTTACCTATGCTCAGGGTGAGGAAAGAGATGGAAAAATCTGCTGCTCTGTCTGTGGAGATTTCAACTCTCTCCAGAGGCCAGGTTTTGGGAAGGGAATTCGGCATAACTAAAATAATTTAGGATGATACAGCTCTTCAGTGAGTCCATCCCTCTTGGACTTCAGTTTCTCTGCAGTGGTTATAGCAGACCATGAAGAAAAAAGTGCTGGATGCAAAGACTTTTTATTTAAACTTCATACTGAACCATATTTAATGTGTCTTTCCTGGATACTTGTTTGGAAGAAAGAAAGAACCCCTGGAGTTTCTCAAACTCCAATTTGAATTTGGTAATGTGCTGAAGCATCTGTATGAAACCGTATTTTTCTTGTTTATTTATTTTTATACATACACACAAGCAGTCTAGGAAATCTGTAGTATATCACTTTGTATTCTGCATCTACTTGATCACTCTTTGTTATGGTGATGAAAAACTAATGATATTTGACTTTCTTTTTTGAGGGAGGCAAGAGTACTTTTATAAGAGTGACCAGAATTTTTCAAGAATGTTTTAACCCCTCTTGCAGTCAAAACCATGTGTCCCTGAGGCCGTGGCTTGAGACCTTTTAAGCCATGAGTTAATACTGTATGCATCCTTAAAACTGAAATAATAGGAGGTCTATAACTGTTGTGGCATGGACACATTGTTTCTGAGTATCTAAATGAAACTGACCTTTTCCATACTAATGTTCCATTGCTGTTAATAAAAAAAGAACATTTTTTTCAGAGATGGGAGCAGAAAGAAATATTACTATTACTTTAGTAAGATCTATGTATTCTAGCTGCAATGAAATGAGAAAGGTCAAATTTTCTCTCTCATCTTTTTTTTTCTTTGTATTCTCTTACTTCTCACCCATCTTTGTTGTACTAATGAAATTAAGATATCCTTCATGATATAACTGTGAGCTAGGGGGATCTAAATTACCTTCATCTGGCATCATTCCAGTATACTATAAATGAAGTAATTGTCCTTGACTATAAAATTTGCATTTTCAAGACTTAATTGCTATCATTACATCTTTTTGTAATTCTATTAATTTAACTGAATGGAGCATTTGGTTTTATGGTAAAAATTTGCATTAAAGCATTGTACATCTAAATAGAATTTTAATATTTGCGTCAAAACCTCAGTACAGTTGTCCCACAGGACCTAAATAATTTTGCGAGAAGAGAATAGGAAGCAGTTGCACTTTAGGTCAACAAACAGGTTTTCTTTTGGTGAATATTAATAGAACTTGCTGTAACAGGCTTCGTGTGCTGAAAATCGCTCCTGCCTGAGCTCCGTGAAAGTGTTATTAATCTATGAATTCCATACCATAATTCTTAACAGAAAATGTATTTGCCCAGATACAGAGTAGGTAGGATGTATGTTTGTTCTGTCAGAGAAGCCAGTGAGCTCTGTTTTACCAAGGAATCACTCCTTCCCCCTTTGAGCCCTTCTACCCGTGTTAGATTATATGTTTTACTACTGGTTGAGGAAGTACTGAATATGCAAGCAGCACTTTCTCTACAGTCATGTGTGCATGTAGTCATCTAGCCAGGACCCACCCTGCCACGAAATTAATTAAGTGGTCAGGATATGAGTATCTATTGGGAAAATATTTGTCTTTGCAGTGGACCTTCTTCGGCCATTACATAGTTAATACTGCATAACCATTTAGACCTCCTTTTTTATTTTTCTTCCTTTCTTCACTCTTTTCTGACAACACAAGGTACTTTGCTCATATAAAGACAGCGGAAAAATGGTTAAAGCAGTGTGATGAATCTGAACTGGCTGAGCACGTTGCAATTGTGATGATGCCATGTGCACATGGGGCCCAGTGGTAAGGTAAGACTGTTACTGAGTGTACATAATTTGAAACCGAGTCCATTTTTTTGCAGTGAATTTATGTGGTAGTCAGTGGACTGTGACCTCACATCCGGTCTTTGGAGGTATTTAGGCCACTAGATCCCTTGGGAATTAGATATCTTGTGTGTCCCTCTCTGGAAACATACAGGCAGTCCCACTCAGGCACGTCAGGTACCCACTGACACATGTATGAGTAGAGAGTGTTTCATGTTGGTCAGAAAAGTCTATGCTATTTTCCATTTTGTGTTAATAGATATCATCAAGTTGTATAACATATTATTTATGGAAGTAATCAATCCGGCTTTGATTTATATTGAATATGCATGTTTTTCTTTCAAAACCATTTTTTTTGCAACATCTAAGTAATATTTCACAAGAGATAGAGTCTGCTAGTGACAGAAATCTCATTAACTACTCTTAATATATGTTGTGTTTACTGGACTTCATAATCATTGTGTAATTAAGCTTCACAACTGGCTTGTGAAGCAGAAAAGATGAAAGATGTCTCCATTAAAGAGATTTATGGGATGGTGAAATTAAAGACAAATTTCTGAAAGTATATAGGTACCCCTTTTTATTGGTTTCAGTGCCTAAATACCTCAGAGGGCCCTATGCTCTTGCAAAACTGCGTAGTAAGGCTCTGGTGCCAGGTCAGGCCCAAATCTGGGAGCACAGGGTGAAGGCTCTATATGAGATCATGACTTTTGGCCAAGTGCCACAGTCCTTGCCTTCTGGGAATCACACTTACTCACTGTGGGGACTGTGTGATGATTCAGGGTAGGCTGGAAATGTAATATAAAAGTGATAAGAGCAGGTAACCTGTTTCTTCTATAACCATCTACATATGCAATATTTCTGTAGGGGTCTTGGTCTTTATTAGAAAAACTTCAACATCACAGATAGGGGGTAAAGGCTTGATAAGAGTTATAGCTCAGCCTTAAAAACATCAGCTCTACTATGCCACTGGAGTCTGCTGTGTTGTTCTAGGCATGTGCACAGAGTAAGAAGACTCACAGTGGATCTGCTCTACACAAAGACTGCATTTTTTCCACTTCAGGGAGGACCCTGTGTATGTTCTTTCTTAACGGGTAAATTTCATTTGATGTGAACATTATGCTAAGGCTGAATTTCTAGGCAGATTGTATGACAGTGCATCAGAAGAAAGAAAAAAAACCCACTCTACCACCAACAAAAAAAGCCCAAATCCAAAACAAAACACATATTCTTTTGAAAAATCCAGGTCTAGCTGTTAGTGTCAATTATTTCAAACACCTACTGAGTTTTCTGGCGCATCTATCTCATTGAATCTTGGAAGTGATTTTATGTACTTTAAACATTTGATCACATAATCAGCTTCTGCATAGCTTCAGCAAAGGATCCTGAGCATTGTCCTGGCAGATAGTCAAGTCAAACCTGACACAGAAACAAACATAAGGGAACAATTGTTGTCAAAACACATTGCATCACTTTGCATGCTAAAGCATTTGCTCTGGTAATCCACCATGCTGACGTGTCCCTCTGCTGATGCCATCTGAGCAGGGACTGCATCCTTAAAGTTGACATGTGCATCACATTATAGCAGTGATTTTGTTATATATCATTGGCATAATGGATATTCAGAAGAGATTCATAATCTTGAAAGGTGGCTTGAATCCACAGTTCCCATCCATGTTCTGGTGACTCAGAGCATTTTGGAAACTCATTTTATAATATCTCATGCTGGCTTGGGCAAAGACAAAGTAAACAGTCGCCTAGGGCAGCAGACTTGGGAGAGATGCGGTCCAGGTCTCATTTCCTACCCACTCTCTGCTAACCATGACAGGAGTACAATCCTTTAACCTGCTTCTCCACTGTCCCTCCCACTCCCCTTTCCAGTTTAATTCTTATGGAAATCTGAAGACATCTTTTTACCTCCTCCCCGTCTCTTTTTCTTATTCACTTTCCCTCTAAAACTCTTGCTGATTTCTCCTAGCTTTTCTCCTCCAGGGAGATTTCGCTGCTTGCTACTTGTGCTGTTCCAGGATTGTGCGATGATTCCCTGTCTCCTCCCATCATTGCATTTCTTTCTGCAAACATCTATTTATTGCTCATTATTTCCAACCTTTGCTGAATAGCCTCAGCCATCCTTGGGTTTTTGGTAGCATGAGTTATGTGAGCAATACAATCCTGTGATAAAGTATACCAGATAATTTGTCTGCTGATAGGCATTGTTTCAAAAGAGTTTTTTCATACTGGGGAAAAATCCAGACAGATGTAGAAAACTTTGTTATATTGCTTATGACTCATGAGATTAAATGAGACAAAAGTAAGATGGTGTCAGCATGTCACTGAATCCCTGGAGAGGTGTGGCTTGCTCTGTTGGTAATGCTATTCATGGAACATAAAATTAGATTGCAGAATTCATTGTCATGGGATGCTATAGAAGCCAAAAGGCATAATTGGCTTCAAAAGGGAATTAGGCAAATTGTTCTATCAACGACCGTCAAATGCAGTTATCTAGATGTAGCATCATGCTCAGAAAACTCCTAAAACAGTGGTTGCTGGAAGATATTTGGCTATAGTAGTGCTAGGATCACCCTCTTCATGGACTGAGAGTTGCTGTTCTGTGTTAAGGCTGAACTTTCAGTCTCTGTCAGTAGTACATGCCTTGTGTTTAAGGTGAATTGCTGTGGACTTAGTCATCTGAAAGTTAACGTCATTTGAAAGTGAAGTTAAAGGAAGCCTATTCCAAGTGGCAGTTACTCCTGTCTATGTTGAAAACACTTTAGGATGAGATGAATTACCCAGATTAGGTGTCCTGTACTTATGACTTGTACTTTTTTCCATTGAGCTTGATGGCTTTTTCTGTAAAAATGAGTGGAGTTCAGAAAGGAGTTTGTTTTTCCAAGTGAGAAAGCAAGACCTCAGATAGTCTGTGTGGGTGTTGTTTGTATCTGAACTGTGTCCTTCCACACAGATATGTTTTTCCCCCATGCCAAAGGTTTGGATTGCCTTAACTTGCTCAACCTGGCCAATTCCATCTCCTTCTGGCACACATAACGTACACTCATTCCCTCAGACTACACTGAAAGAAGCTGCAGGGTTGTACCAGTTTTCTACAATGACAAAACAGCACCCTTTCTTGGAGAGTAGTGCAAGTTTCTGAAATGAGTAGACTGGCAATTTGACAAACTATGACAGAAGTCTCTAGAAGGCTTCTTGCACATTGGTGCATGCACAAATACCATACATAAGATAGCAGCAGATCCTTCACTCATTTGATTTGTTATTTTTGCCTAAGGAAGTAGAGCTTACACATGTAGGCATATATTTGTTTGGGGTTTTGCCGGACTCATTGTCTCATATCCCTACTGGCAGTGGTTGTTATCAAGACAATTTAGTGAAGGGAAGCAACGAACTGTGAGTAATTTGCTAAATGTGAGGCCAAACATGATGTCTTAGCCTACTGCTCTCAAAATCTTAATTAGTGCAATACTTCCACTAAGTGTTGGGATCTCTTCAGGAGTCAAAATGGTTGTGGTGGTGGCACCTTGGCAGAAGTTTTAGAAAAGATGGGGGAAAGTTTCCAAGGTGACAAATAATACACTAACAGTTGGCAATGACCAATGGCTCTATGTTCTTTTAATGCTTTTCAGGTAGATTCCAAGGAGGCTAAGCAAGCAAAACTGAGGATAAAATTGTGGCCTGGTGTTACTGGAGCTAATAGTAGCTTCACAGTGACTTCTGAGTACAAGGAGGATTTGGGACCAAACATGCCATTGGGGTTCTAGCAGGACCTTTGCTTGTGGCTCAGGGAGATTCAACTGGGGTTCAAGTAGGCAGGGCTGCAGGGAACAAAAGTGGTACAAGGAAGCATTAGCTATTTTTGATATCCAGAAGCTATGCTTGCCATTTTGGAATTAGGTGAGTAGCAGGACCTTAAGGCTCAGGCAGCATCATTTAACTTTTTTCTGTTCAACCTGAGGCTTCAGTGGGATTAGTATCTCAGATTCTTCTTTCTTATCCTTGTTCTCTATTCAATCAACTAGAAATTGGACTCCATATCTTTTCTTCCTTTAAGAAATAAGTATCTGTAGATACATATCTTCAAAATAAACCTCCAAATATTTGGAGGCTTATCTTTTATTTATTGTATATATATGTCTATCTTTTCTCTGTTACTTTCTAATCTCTTAAAAATTTTTCTTTTAGTGATAGGATTCATAATTCTGCAGGTAATGAATTGGACTTTGACAGACACTCAGTAAAGAGCCTCTGGATGTAAAAATGAAACTGCTGGTGTGAAAAAATTATCTACACTAACCACTGGAAGCACACTGCAAAAATCCAGGTTGCTGAGCAATGTCTATGTCGTATAGTAAGGACACAGTCAAGTACAACAAACCCTGTGGTCCACTTGCCTTCACTCCTTGCTGGAGCCTGTCAACTGCTGTAGCTGAGACAGATCAATTACACTACATATTGCTGAGATCGTGTGTTCTGATGACAGACAGGCTTGTATCCTACTCACTTTCATCCATCAGCCACGTTAGCAACTTCAAAGGTATTAAAGAGTGAGCAAGCCTGACATTCTCAGCCCCAAATGACCTTGAGGAAATTTTATTTTTTTTTTTAATCTGTGTTTGTGTGTGGCAGGTGAGTCTATACGGGCACTATTCGTAAAGCTGGGTTGTTTTGAGTGCTATGCAAGAGTTGATATGTAGTCAACACTACAGTTGGCTCCACAAAAAGACATTCTGAATGAGGAAGTAGAATTTTTGAGAAGGTATTTGTAGATGCAGACTTTTCAGTCCTTGATATTGATCTGTAGAGTTTGGCTTCTCATGAGTAAATTTAAGATTTGTGGAAATGGTTAGGCTCAAACAGCATGAATGCATCCGTTATTTATTTTCTTTTTAGCTGCTTGATCTGAAATTGTTTCTCAACAAAAAAATTTATATTAAATGTATTTTTCTTATTCTCTCCTCATACCATTCTGGTATAACAGCTAAGGCAGAAAATTTGCACCCTTTTTGAAGTATTTAATGTTGTTACTTTAGAAAAAAAAATTACTTGACTTCTGGAAAAGTCTGTAAGTTTTCAAATTGCAGAATCACCAAACAATTATTTGTCTATCCATTTATTACTTAACCCCATTTCCTGAAGTTTTCGTCCTATGTATGTTGGGGTTCTTTTCCATCTCTCACAGTGCTTTGTTTATTATTCTTACAGCTTAAATCTTTCCTCTTTCTTAGCCATTGGTTTGTCAGTTATGATCAAGTGTCAACATGAAAGCAAACATAAGCATCAATTATAAAAAAATTACATAGTCTGTTTACATATTCATTTGCAGAAAGGATTTTTCTCTCAATGCATACCGGATGTGAACTGTAACTAGACATGTGAGTTGTCTTCATACTTATTCTCACATCTGAAATCTGTCAGGTAGGTTTGGTAATCCTGCCAAGCATGGATTTCTTCCAGTATATGAGCAATACTTTTAAGTCTTTTAATAGTGGAGGTTATTCAAATATATTTTGAGTACCATCTTTTCCATAGGAAAAATTTTTTAGTTTCCTCCATAGGAAGACTGTTACATGCTCCTCTACTTTAAATTAATTTGCTTTTTTTACCTCCCCCTCCATCACTTTATTTTTTCCTGAACAAAATTGTAGGCATTATGCAAAATTAAGGTTAAAAAAAAAATAAAGGCTGGAGCATCACACTGAAGAAGGTCACTTTTAATTTTGCTACCATGAAACAAAATCTTTATTATGGGGAAAAAGTAATCAAACCTTTGAC